TGCATCACGTCGAAATGCACCATAAACCTTCGAAAATGCAGTATCTCAAAATCTGAGCGCAGGATGCAATCTGAGCCGCACGATGCATCAGATCCGACGGCTAGATTTTATTCTCATTTCTCTCCACAAGGTGCATTCTCACGGGAACCGGCCCCTATATATATATATATATATATATATATATATATATATATATATATATATAGGGAGGGAGGGAGGGAGTTGGGATTACACTGGATTGTGTGTGTGGGTGTGTGGATAAATTACCTGTTTGTCCAATGCTGAGACAATCGGAGAGAAGGCTGTTGATCTCCATGATCTTGATCTAGAATTGTACAATCAGATAAGAATAACTATATATTAGTTAAGGACTGCAAGATCAATAAACTAAATAAAACACAATGAAATGAGTATGGCATGGCAAAAGGATACATTTTTGTCACACTCGCTTCTTGATGGAGACTTCTGATTGTGATTCTAATACCAAAAACAATAAGAAAAAGATTATTTACAATTTACAAGGATGCCTTTCACAACTATTCCACATGAACAATTGTACCTTGTTTGTGTGCTCTAAACAATCCTCAATCAGGTTAGCGACATCAGACATTATAACACAATCTTTGGTTCTTTCAATCTTCCTATTTTCTGGAGGAATTGCCCCAGATGTAGTAATATCAGTCTGGTTGGATACCAATAATAAAGAACATTTTGTTTTTTCCTCAGTTCCGATCCTTGCCTTCTTGTTTCTACTTGGCGAAGACTGTGTTTCTAACCTTACAGCACTTCTGGCGGTAAAAGCTTCATTATGCATAGTCTCAAGTTCTTTGGACTCATTCTGAACCTGAGAGACATCCTCTGATAGCATCTGTGCAGCTTGTGTAGGAAACTGGCTTGCTGTACAAATTGCAGCTTCTTGATTTTCAGAAGTTACTGCTTTTGGATAAAATGGACCTGGAGCAACTACTTTGTTCTGTTGAAGCAATAAAAAGGCACAGGTTTCATAAATGTGAAACAAAGGGTCCAACTAAATGTTTACGATCAAAAAATAAGGATGGAAATGTCATGGTAGCAGAAGCAAGTGAAAGGGGGAAGCAAACAGCTTACCTGTTTTATACACTCATAAATCCACTCACATGTTACAGGTTGGATACCAAACCTACAAGCAAACTCATACTTTTGGCCACAAGTGAATTTACACAATAAATGTGTTGCCCTTCTAGAAAATTTCTCAGCAAACTTAGCTCCAAGAATAAAGCATAAATTTCTTAGCAGCTTCTTTTCTTTTTCATCGTACTGTGAAACACCCAAACGAAAGCTCTTAAATGCAGGGAAAGGTACTTGACAAGGAAGTGGAGAATAGCAAATGTGACTGCCAACATCTAGCAAGCGCCCATCCTTCATAAAAGCAATTTTCAACTTCATTAGCATTCATTGGCAACTAGGCAAGAAATACAAACACTGAGACTACAAGAAGAGATAATCCATTTAAACATACACATATTACCCCCCACACCCTTTACAAAATTATTAGTCACTTTATCTATCCATGAAAACATAGTGTTGAATGGAAAAAAAAAGGATAACAATAATTAAAATTTAGAAATATACAAAATTAAACTACAAGAAGGTTGTGACACAAAGGGTATCTGTTGTAAAGCTTTACCACTCAGTTTTTTGTGTGAATTTGGTGTTAACTAAGGCTCCGTTTGGAAGTGAGGGAACTGACTGCCGGAAGTCATTTTCCTCATTTTCTGATGTTTGGTTACATTGGGAAATTGGAGTCAATGGAAATTGATTTGTCAAAGAGAAAACCTACCCTAAAATCCGGAATTTGTCTTCCCCATTTGAAGTAAGGATGGCATTTTCCTTCCCAGCGCTGCCTCATCTATCTTCTTCCTTCCTTGCGCCTTCTTCTCCATCATTCTGATTCATCTATTTTCCGTCTTCTTCATTCCCTCTCTTGAATCTTTTTCCTATGGTATAATCTTGTTTCGCTTTCTCTTTTTGGTTGAAATTTCATATGAGAACTCATTATTTTCTTTTGGAGTTTGGAGTTGTTTTATTGCATAAGGGAGCTGTTAAAATAAACAAACATTTTTATCCAATGTTTCTTGCCTTTATTGTTAATGCCACTGCCCACTATCCTTTAAATTAAAAGATATGATGCAATTCATGGAATGCTGAAATCTGAATGTCAAACATCTTTGGAAATTTCACCCCATTTTGATAGATTTCTTAATCTGTAACCCGCTCAGGTCTGCATCCATTCCTCTACTTGGTTGCTTCAAATCTGGTGAAATGTAATTGACTTTTGCAATTGGTAATCTTACATAGGAACTACACTAACATATGCATGACTGCCTGAACTAAGATTAGCTAGCTATCGGTTATGGTTGCACTCTTGATTTCAATATAACATGTGGAGTATAATATTGTGAAACATCTTCCTGTCTGAAAACTATATGATAAAAAATTTAAGACCCGGGTGTGATGTGCCAGACCAAAGAGAAGCCGTCTATAATGTCTAGTTATAATCACCTTCCAGCACTTTTAATTTTACTTAGTAGATAAAAAAATTTCTTTTACAACCCTTTGAATTTATACCTCAAGTATACAGAGGGGATCATAAGTCAGCTTTTAAGAAACAATGATTTCAAAGTGCAATGTGAGCATAAGAATGTCCAGAATTACTTGAAAACTGTGAAAAACACTTGGAGGACGATATGCATGCTACAAGAAAAGAGTCGCTTAGGATGGGATGACAATATAAAGATGATCGCCCAATTCTACAGGATTTTCTGCTAGAATCTTCCCTTTTCTGTTGGAATGTTTGAAGAGGCACATCCAAAATATGAAATAATATTGAATAAGAATATTGATTATTACGATGAGATGGCTATAGTACAGGGAAAGGATGTTGTTATAAGGACATTTGCAAATTGAAATCAAGATGCCCAGATTTGGTATGAATGAGATTGAAGACGTACCGCAGATGACTACAACAGCAATACAACAATAACAACCTAGTTCTTGACATTCAAATCACATAGGGGCAACCAGATCTTTGTTTGGCGGATCATATGCAGCTTACAAAGCACTGGTCTTTTTTGGAAGCAAGGACAATGGGAGGAGATGACCTATTGGGCTCACAATTGGTTTACTGGGACATCATGACATCCTGAACTACGGGTGCTAAATTGGAAGGGCTTTGGGTGCTTTCTTTGCTGATCTTTGTTTTCAGACATTCTGTTTGGTGCTTAGTGCTGTCTTTGTTGGCTTTTGTATTTTGATCGCACCATTGTTTTCTTGTTCTGTATTAAATTTTTCTAGGAGGGGTTTTGGCTTGGAACTCCACTCTTGTACTTGGTTGTCTTTTTAATAAATTTTCTTTATATGTATATATACACACACACACACCTAAATATATATGATTAAATAAGAATGATGCTCCATGAAAGAAATGAGAATGCATATAGTCCATTGGATTTGAAATGTAAGGGTTGTAAATTAGTGAAAAATGGAGGAATTTTAAATAAGTCAAACTTTCACAAAATACATCACGGCGAACCAAAAATGTATATTTCTCATTTCTCACGATAAGGATCTTTCTCATCGGAACCGGTCCCTAAAATGCCACAACGTTTTTGGAAACAAACACCAGAAAATTTTTGTGTTGGAAAATGTCTTTTTATGTTTGTTTCATTTGGAAAATTTGGAAAATGTCTTTTTGTCTTTTTGTGTTTGAAAATTTGGAAAATGTCTTTCTCACACAAAACGTTTTTGGAAACAAACACCATAAAATTTTCCAAATGAAACAAACACAAAAAGACATTTTCCAAATTTTCAGCCAAACACCAGAAAATAAAAACAACTTCGGGAAAATAAATCATTTTTTAGAAGTCATTTTTCTCCTTTCCAAATGGAGCCTAAATAATTGACACTACAAATTTCATTTCTCTTACCCAAATAAGTTGGGATTGAGTAGGATGGTGGTGTTGGTAATAATCATAACCAGTAAGAAGAATGAATGCATATACAAGTATGTGTCTATAGATTGACATTGACTACTGATAAACAGTTGCAAAAAAGACGATTATACCAAGTTGCATTTTAGTCCATGGAAAAAAGTGTTAAAAAGCCTTCAAATATATCGTCCCAATTTGTCATGCATATTTTCCTTTTAGGTCCATCCCAATATTTTTTGCATGTTTCCATCAATAGAAAGCATTATGTGTTTCATAGTTTTTTTCTCCTTTGCATAAATCTCAATTGCGCAGTTTACACTTTATTTACCGTGCCTAAAAAGATTGAGCACAACAAATTCAGACAGAGGGAGTAAAAAACTTGAAATTGAAAGCAAGGACAACACAATAATAGGTACCTAGAAAAGCTTGACACACAAACCTTACCCCCACCTAGAAAAGCTTGACACACAAATTTTAAGACGACAACACTAAACATTATTGAGAGACGGTTGTTTCAATAAGATTTTTATATTGCCATTTTACTCACGTCAAACAGGCTGTTAAAGATCTAGAATTTGCATAATAATTAGGTATTTCATTTTCAGGTTCCTAAACAAAAGAATCAAATTTATTTAAACAAGGCAAAACACGTTGAAATATAACTTTTGTTTGCATTATAATAAATACTCCACACTGGATTTTCCCAAAAAGATCAAGTACCTCTAAACAAGACTTGATCCAGTGACTTGAAACATATGTCATACCAGCATCAGTCTGGGAACGCATCACACCATGGCGTTCAATAACAAAATGCACATCTGTTTCAATCTGAGCCTCCACCAACTCCCCTCCCCCTTGATTTACCCACAGTATAATGTCACCTCTCTGCCCATACACAAACAATTTTCATCATACACACAACGAATGGTGAGCACAGCTTGTGAGCAAGAGACAAGAAAAAAAAGCATCACAAAGGTAAATGTATGAATAATTGCTTTCATGGGATAGACCAAAATGCTTTCTTCACAGTGCAAAAATTAACTGTCATATGCTTTTGGTGGCAGTACAATTCTAGCTTTGCATAGCAAACGAAATCAGCTATCATGGTTTGGCTGAACCTGGGTGTTGATGCACGTTATTATAAAACATTTCACGTAACCACATAAGCAGTATCAGATATTACTAAAAGAGTAAATGTTCAAAACATGTCAAAATAAGTATTAGGATATGAAGCAACATAAGAAGCAAAATGGCATGCCAATGTGTAGAAGTTTCAATTTGAAGTATTGTGTTGGAACTACTAAAGAAAAAGGGAAAAGTCTGTGTCAACAATCTTTGCAATGTAAGGACTATGTTGGCCTTATTCCTTGTCCCCAAAAAAATCATCTTCTAGCCTTTTACCAAGCATATATTTTGTCTGGTGTTTACTTTGTACATAATGCGGTAGCTAAGAAAGTCCAAACATTCATTGGAATGTAAAAGAATGAAGTGATTACCATGTTTGGTGATCTCTTTTCCCCGAGAAAGTTTGGTCAATGTTCCTTAAAAACAAGGAAAAAATTTTGAACCAAGTGTTGGGCTTGATTCTTTTTCCCATAATAGCTACACTCCCCACTTTCTCAAAAATTTAATAGATGGGAAAGCACCAAACACCTTAAGATCCACAGATGTGGTTGATAAGTGGTTCAAAGGGTGAGCCATATCTTATTGTACACATTAAAGTACGGACCTGATCGGCAGGGAAGCAGCTCGAAAAGCAAAACCGTTTTCCCTTAAAAACAGTCGATGTTTTTGTATCATCATCTGCTTGGTCTGCTCCACTGAGATTTGTGTGCGACTTAGCCTTATCTTTACCATTCAGTGTACAGAACTGAGGTTCGATTTCTATCTGTGAAGATCCTTTGTTATTTATGTTTTCTACTTCTTTACTCTCCTTCAGTGAGTTTCCAGATTCGAAATCCTTGTGGCACTGAACACCTTCACTTGAATTTCCTTGCTTTGCAATAGCATTGCTCACGAAAACACCTTTATTGGATTTAATGTGTTCTGTAGATCAAATAGCCAGTCAACAGTAGAAGCTGAATGCTGATAAAGGCAATCACTAAAGCAAGTTCATGCAAATATCATATTAAAGTGCCAACTAAAAATCAATAAATCACTGGAGGATAGAATTCACATGATGGCAGCAAATAACAAATAGAAAAATACAGAGTAATCAAAGAAGCAGACCTCTGGGAAGAAATAAATCACTAGCAATATGCTTCTGAAGCACAGGAACTTCTTTCTTTTGACTTGTACAGTCTGCAAGCCAATCTGGTTTCACCACATGAATTACACCCAAAGCTGAGAGGTTTCTTATTTCTTTGATTTCACTACGAGACAGTTATAAAGTCTATGAGAATTGAAATGGTACAAGAGCTAATTATGTAAAAGGTATCAAGACATCAATATTTTTGCAATAACTTATGCACAAAAGGAGTTTAGTGAGATAAATAATAGCAGACACTAAATTTAGAAAAGCTGAAGGGATGAGACAAAAATGAAGCAAATGATACACTTGTAAAGTATATTTTCATTATAGAGATGATAACCACCTAATTAATGTGACCAGCTGGTTGCCGGTTGCTATGTAGTATAGCAATTCAGAGAAACAGAGCCTTATAACAACAACCTTTCCATAAGTATTACTCTGTAACTATTAAAAAGATTTTAACCTCAGCAAAAATTTCTATAGAACTTTGATGTTGAGTACCTCAAGTTCTCTTTACTAGAAGTCTAACATATTCTATCATCAACTATCACCTAGAGGATGGGCATAACGACAGCAGGCTTAACTAGCAATAAGTTATGAAAAACACTTACAAAAAGAACAATATGATGAATTATTGAGTATATAATGTAGTATCTTACCAAATAATAAAATAGCAGCGGGAAGAAAACAAATCAGTGTAGAGCTTACCGCTTACAGGGCAAAATTAGCTAGGGTGGGGATATACATTGTGGTAAAAAAATGTAATGAACTAGAAGCCAAAAAAGTGCAGTAAACTAAAAATGCTCCTCTAAGCTAAGTAGACTAAAATATCTCTTACTAACTAATACAGCATTAGTATGATGACTTATTGGGCATATCAGTGTATCAGCCTTGCTGTGCCGGTAGTTCATGACATTTTTAGAGTTAAGCACAATTATGTATGTACTGCCATGCACAAAAGGGTTCATAGATCTTACATCTCAGATGGAGATCCAACTATTATGTGTGTCAACTTCTCACTGAAATACATATAACGGGAACCGCCACCTTTACGAACCATATTCACAAGTTTTCGCATTTCAGATGCACTAAAACCAACAATTAGAAGTCTACAATCTGAAAGGTATAAGTCATTATCATCTGTTTGAGAGTCACCAGCAACAAATTCACCAGTAAAAGCATCATAATTTTGGTGCTCGATGGGATGGTCATTTCTTTCCTCTTTGGAAAACAAGGGTTCCTCTGAAAATGAAGGTGCGTTCTGAAAAAAGGTGCCCCCCATGTCTGAATCAACAGCATGTCCAAATGAAACAGCTTCAGAATTTGATACTGTTGCAGTGGAGGAAAAACTATGCACGCTTTGAATACCACTCTCTAAGCTGTGTTGGTTTTTAATTCTTGCAGCATTCCTAGTTGATGCAGAACTACCCTGAATGTGATAGGACTCCTCATTAAGGCATGCTATTCATTGCAAAGAGGATAAAGTGTCAGTTGCAGCAGCTATAAAATCTCACTGAAGGATGGAACTAAAAAACAATAGAGTAAAGACTCGGCTTCAACTAACAAAAAAGAGTACCTCTTTTAGCAACAGATTGGTCAAGCCACTTCTTGCTAACTATGTGTATGCTACCCCAGGCCTTGGCAACAGTGTATTTTTCTCCTTTAGGGGCTTATCAACAGTCAAGAAAACAAATATGTCTGATGCTAAGCAGATTCAATGCATGTGCACCTTATAAATGCTAGGATCAAACGTGTTTGAACATAGAAAAGGGGGAAAATAAATAAAATAGTTAAATACATGTTTGTTAGAGCCTTCTCTCATCAAGCACATCTTCATCACAATGGGAGCGGAAAGACTATACATGAGGGGTGTGGTTGGGGGATGTAGAGAGGCAATTAATTACTAACTTACTGAAAATATCCCAACCAGAGAGAAAGGTAACCTGGGGCAATTACAGATATTGTTAACAACAGCAGCAAACACAGCTAAACCCCTCAAATGGGGTCTGGGGAGAGTAGGATGTACGCAGACCTTACCTCCACCCATCAAGGGTTGAGAGGCTGCTTCCAATAGACCCTCATTGTTACAGTTATATTGTTAGGCATCTAAATTCCAATTGATGCAAATTATTCTGCATACTTCTGATTGTTCATATTTGATGCAAAAGGATCTCACTCCAAGAAGGTTACAGACAATGTAGTACAATTAACTGATGGTAGAAGATAAATAATGCATATAAAAAGGATATATCACAAATTAAATGTGTGCAACTTTTAGTCAGTTCAGGAGAATATTTGCCTCCATTCTGTACGACAATACTTTCCACCTCCTTCCTCTCATCTGAAACGGATGCTTGGATTTCAAAAATGTTTTAAGAAAGTCACTTTTAATGATTGATTCCCAAACCTGCAGGGATCCTGGTAACACTAATGGTTAGCCCAGAAAAAGGTTGGACCCTGAATGACTCTGGAGCAAGAAAGTGATGCTCATTCCAACATTGGTGTAGCCAAGTAATACTAACAATCGATTTCTTCCATATGTTTACTGCCCACTGCAAATGTACCACATAAAGGAGAATGAAAAAATTTACCACTGCAAAGAAACAATATATTATGAGATTCATGAAGAAATGTATGTGGTAGTTATGATATGGGGGGAAATTATATAATGGAGCCTTAAGCTCAAGGTTAACATACATGTAGCACAGTTCAGACAAGGGTGAATGCAAAAATAAATAAATTGCCACATAGAAGACTTTTAATAAGGCTGCACTTGCAGCCACTGGGCAAAAGTCCCTGTGAAGACATAGGTCAAGATGAGTAAAAATAAGAGGGATGGGAAGCTATGGTGGGGAAAAGCACTTCTTGTTATTGGAATCGAAGAAGCAAGGTAAGGTTGCCACTTTACCTTGTCAAATTGTGCACAAGTTAAGACCTAAGTCACCTAACATGATACTCCTTATGTTTCTTTTTACTTGGCCCATTCGCTATTCATGAAGTCAAACTTTATCCTCTTGTCGTGGTGTGCTTCTTGGCATGGTGTTTTTTCTTTCATTGTGTTTTTCTTTCATCGCATTTTTCTTTCTTTACCCTAAACTTGCTTTGTGCTCCTTTTGTGTGCTCTATGCTTTCTATGCATTATGTGTTTCACGAGCTGGGGTCTCTCTTGGAAATAGCATCTATACTTTTGAGTAGAGGTAAGGTCTGCATACATATATCCTCCTCAGACCCTATTCTAGTGGGATTCTTGTTGTTTTGTTTCACCGTTGATAAAATAATATCGTCATGTAGCCTCTTATTTTGTAAACTTTTGACGTAACTTTTAAATATGTAACGTTTTTTTTTTGTTTTACACCACTTTTCAAGTAAGTAAATTCAAAGTAACATCATTTAAACATTGTAAGCCGAAATGGGTAGGTAAAATGAAACAAGAGTATGTTATTATTGCAATTAGACATCCATGTAGGTGCTACACAAAAGAGTTGTTGAAAAGCAAACAATAGAATCCCAAAACAACAACCAGCCCAGTAAAATCCCATAAATGAGGTATGGGGGAGGGGGGTACGAAGACCTTACCTCTACCTAGAAAAAGTAAAGAGACTCTTTCTAAAACACCCTCTTACTCAAGCAATAAAGGCACAAGAAGCACAAAAGAGCATGCAAAGCACAAAGTGAGAACAATCCATTAGTTAAAGGGAAATTAAAAGAGAAACAAAAACCAAACAAAATGTCACCATATAACTAATCCTAAAGGCCCTACACACCGGAACCACTTTTATATAGGCCTATCCTACAAATTTAAGCTTTTACATCCAACTCCAAGTTTGCCATCTGAGGCCATGTCCTCCATGAGCTTCAGAAGGCACAAATCTTGTCTAATCGCCACACTCCAACTCGTCAAATTTTGAAGGCCAAACAAGATGTCACCATATAACTAATCCTGAAGGCACAACACACCGGAACCACTCCTATATAGGCCTATCCTACAAATTTAATCTTTTGCATCCAAGTTGTCCCATTTAAGGCCATGCCGAAGGCCAAACAAGATGTCACCATATAACTAATCCTAAAGGCCCAACACACTGGAACCACTCCTATACAGGCCTATCCTACAAATTTAATCTTTTACATCCAAGTTGTCCCATTTAAGGCCATGCCCTCCATGAGCTTCAGAAGGTGCAAATCTTGTCTAATCGGCACACTCCAACTCGTCAAATTCCCCATCAAACAATAGAATCCCAAACTAGTACAACAATGTCAACCAACAACTTAGCTAAATTGAAATACCAACAGTAGCAGGAATAAGACTATAGCTAATATTTATGGATCCCTTTTGATGTGGGCCCGGTCTAGCAGTGTGGCTTGTGACTGCCAGGATAGCCTTCCCATAAGCAACGTCAACATCACCACTCCTCCCGTGTACCAAGAGCTTGCCTGCAAGCTTGAAATAAAGAATTGTCTCGGTAAAGACTCCAGCTCTTACAACCTAACTTCCTTCTTAGACAGGTCTATCCCTAAAATAGCACCTTTCCCCCTTCAAATGAACATGATTGAAGGTAGAAGGCCAAAGAAAAAGACAATCTGGAGTCACGCAAACAAAAAAGTTTCCTTGAAAAACAAATCACAAATAATTTATCACGCCAAAGATGACAGAATCATGCAAGCCATGATGATGGAAATTTTTGGCAAAGAACGGATCAGTCAAAGTATTAAAATGAGCGTATTTGGAAAGCCAGACATGTATGGAGTAGTGAACTACCACCAAAGCAACCGATATTCATTCCACCTTCAGCAGCCCTTCAACAAAGTGCATGGAGATGGGTGATGGTCCTTTTGAGCATGTATGGAGTTTCAAACTAATATTAATGCCCACTGGTAACTTAATTAAACTGAAATGCCAAAACAAAAAGGAATACGGCTTCGGTTCATTATTAGGAATCTCTTTTGGTGTAGATTTGATCTAGCTATGTGGCTTATGACGGCGGTGGTGGCTATTCCAGTAAATGATGTCCGCACCAACTTTAAGATATGTTGGGAACCAAATAGTTAGGCAACAAGCCACACCACTCAAAATGGAGAACTGGTCCTTGCAGTATAGCTCAAGAACCATCTAGATCATTAAACCGTCAAGTCATAACATCAATAAACTTTCCACAAATTCCATAGTTTCCCAATTTCACTATTTGTCAAGTTTGTCAACTTGTATGACCGATGTCAACACTTTCAAATGTGGTTCTCTAACAACCCTTAACCGAGAATTAGTAATATATTATCAGATTCCAGATAATTTTTCATCACCACGTAAACTTATTTCCTAACTTGTCTTTTCTGCTGTCCAATTAAACCACAAACTATGTATGTTGTGATATTTCCTATAAATAATACTGAGTAATGGTAAAATTTAGTAGGGGTTTTCATATCTCCCATTGTTTGTTGCCTGCATCTCTGCAGTTTATTAACTCATCCCCTAATGGCCAGACAGGTATAAAACATTCATCAAGCCTGAAAGAAGATAACTACAGTTCAGTCAGTTCTTTTGCACTGATATATTTTCACAAGTGGTGGTGCATCTAGTCCAATCTAGTGCAGAAGTCATGATGTAGTGTGTAGTACAAACTAGATTAGACAATATGAGAAAAAAGTGAGGATGTAGATTATATGTGAACTGAGAAACATGCCTCACATGCAAAACTAATTCATCAAAGATGACTATAAATGGTTTTTTTAAATAAAAAATAAAAAACAAATGGATTTCACTAGCAAAAAAAACAGCAAAAATCAATACCCAGTATTTTGCAGCCAAAACATTCTTCACAATAACAATGTTAACATCCATTGATGCTTTTTCTTGAAAAACGCCTCCCATTGCTTTCACTAGCTTTCTGATTTTTAACTGCATGTTGTATACAATGAAGAAGATAATAACCTTGAACCCAATTGAAGGGGAAGTTAGAAGGTATATTGCGGAGAGAAAATAAAATGGAGTGAAAACGACACCCATAGTTCACTGCAATTAAACAAGGAAATGTATATCCCTGCTATTTAGTCAAATACTAGTGACGCACTCAGCTTACCTTTTCATCCCCCGCAAAACCAGATGCCAGTACTTTGACACCTTCCATTGCAAAACAACATGTAAATCCTTTACTGGGGAGTTTCCTGCATTCATTCGCACAGAAACGAATACAACGAGGACCTGGCCCAGAAGGGGGGGAGAGAATATTCGTTAAAGATCAATGTATGGTAGACCATATCAGAGACAAGAAGACGAATTACCTATCAAATTACAGCCTTTTGACAGGAGATCCTCGAATTTCTCCTGCAATTGGAGAATGGAAACTGGGTAAGCCACAACCGGGGGAACACCAAGGGAAAATCCGTACGGATTCGATTCAAAATCAAAATGGTACTGAGGAGAATTACATGATCCATTGAGGAGATGACATGGAAGTCATCAGGGCCGTTTCGGGATGGGTCGCAGCAGAGGAAGACCTGAGCTCCGTTTCGCTTGAGTGTATCGTGAAGCGCATCGAAGTCCTCCGGCGGAACCAGATTCCGCGACATGAAGACGTTAGCCCCCTTGAACACCGTCGAATTCATCGTCTTCCACTCACTCCTTCGTCTTCTTCACTTCACCAAGAGGACTTCCGTTTTTAGTTTTGCAGAACACGGAAATCAAGAAATGTGCGGACACTAGGGAATCTAATGACTGATTTGAAATAGGGAAATTTCCCTTTAGGTTTTTGCGCGGGAAGCTATGGATCAAGTTCTTGAATGGGCTTTATTCCTACCTCCGTCCAGTGCATCAATTAAATAGACCTTCTCTGGTGAATTTTTTTTAAAATTAGTATAAAAATAATTTAGTTAGATTTATCTTATAAAATATTTATAAAAATTTCATTTTCTTAGAAAGGCCAAAATTGGCCCTACTTATGCCGTCTTTTGAGTAATATTTGCCTAAGTTGTTGATTCAATATAGAGAGATTTGCAATTTTTTAGTCTTATACAAACTATCCGAAAAATTATATTTTGTAATTTGTTCATCCGATCTAAGTTTATAAAGCTTTTTAGCTTAATTTGATTTGCTTTACAAGTAGAAATCAATGTCAAGAAATATTTTCCAGCAAAATTTAAAAAAATTGTTAAATTTATTTTCTTTCTTCTAACTTATGACTTCTATTTTTTCATTACACTCCACACCCCAATACACTATGTTAACGGTGTTGGAGATTGTCTCGATAAATGAATTGTACAATGGAAATGCTTGTACAACAATTTTTATTATGCCGCCAATGAAAGGGAGACTGGTAGGGTGATGTAATCCACTTCCAATAATAATTGAATTACAAAATGACTTTCTTATCATTTTTCGTTAACATTCTCAGATGACTTTTCTATTATTTAATAGACATCAAGGCAATAAATAAATAATGGTATTGAATTTGAGCTTTTTAGTCAACATCTATGAGCAAGAAATATTGGAATCCATTGGATGAATTTAAGAAATATGATATGAGTTCTTAAATCTAGAAGAAATAATATATTATCTAAAATATTTCTTTCTGAAAAATTTTAAATCATGATTTAACTATTTAAGTAATGATAAGCAATGAAGGTCAACTAAAAAGATGGTTGGCAGTGGTAGCTGGTGGCAGATGGTGGTTAATGGAGATATCAAACTTCAATCTTGCTATTTTCCAAATTCAAAAGATATCAAAACCCTACATTTGAAGGATATATGGAGATATCAAATCTAAAATTCATTTTGTCGTCGCGAAACACAAAAAAGGGCACATTCTAATATCAGAACCCATATCTTCTTTTAGCTCACCGGGCCCTTACAGAATAATGGTTTGTACTCTGTATTTTGTTTTCTGGGCTTTTACACCAAAATACATTGAAAGAACTAAAATATTGTGGAAGACAACTTGTCAAGTATCATCGAGAAACTTCATCATTTGGACGCTGCTTGTCATCTTCGTAAATTCAGACCACTTTGGCTATCCTTGAGGCTCTGCAAGTTAAAAATTACAAGTAAAAAAACCAAGATTAGAAGTTTCATTTACAGGAAAGCTTAAGATAGCCATAAGAATATGAATGAGCTGAATGTCACACCAATTGTTTAAAGGACGTGTTTGGCGAAAGACTTCTGTTTGGCTTTTCAGCATCTGGCTTAGCTCGGTCAAGAGCCTGAAGCAGGTGATCAAACACAAACTTGAGAACTGCTATGGCTATCACAATAAGGTCCAAACACTGCAACAAATGCCACATGATGTTCTTTCTACCCATCCCCAGATGATCAAAAAAACATGACCCTAAACAACTGCCCAAAACTGTTCTAGAAAATCATTTTTTCATTCAATCATCATCCTGAGGATGAGCAAACTATTTAAGAGTATAGAATGAATGGTTTTGCGCACAACACATGCCCAGATATTTTTGTTCTAAACAGTGCATGGAATAATGACAGAGGTTAAGTACACAAGGGAGAGTTACTTGTATAAGTGATTCCACCCGACGCCTCATCCGAGTATGCATGAAACCCTCTGAACACTGTTTACAAGACAAGCTAAAAATGTTAATGGAGGAACAACGAAGCATGGTGGGAATGCAAATACCTACTAGCACACTTTGCATAGAATGAATATACATACATACATAGATACATACGTACATACATAGAGGCACTTAACTTGTTTAATCACACTATGAAGGTCTGAGAACGAATTATTGAGGCTAGACTGAGAATAGATGTGAACGTCTCCGAGAATCAATTTAGTTTCATGCTTGGTCCGTCAATCACTTTGGTCATTCATCTCCTGATGGAGTAATATAGGAACAAGAACAGGGACCAACACATCGTGTTTATTGACTTGGAGAAGGTATATGGTAGGATTCCTAGGGAGATCTTGTGGAGATGCTTAGAGTACCGACCAGTTGCTTACATCAGTGCTATCAAGGACATGTATGATGGGATGAGGACCAGAGTGCGGTAATTAATAGATGGGTCTGACACTTCCTCATGGGGGTGGGGTTACATCAAATGTTTGCCCTTAGCTCGTTCTTGTTTGCTTTAGCCATGGATGTTCTGACACGTTGATGCATAGTACCTTGATGCATGTTGTTTGCAGATGACATTCTTGTGATTGACGAGACACGTGAGGGACTCAATGGTAGGTTAGACATGTGGAGATAGACCTTGAAATCCAAAAAATTCATATTGAGCATGACAAAGATTGAGAACATGAAATGTTGCTTCAGTGATAGGACAAGTTGGAGTGGATGTGAGGATTTTTTCGCATCTGGTGCCTAAGAGGACAAGTTTATATACTTGGGATCAACCATTATTCAAGCCTATGGGAAGATAGATGAGGATGTTGTTCATCATATGAGAGCCGCTTGGAGTAAGGGTATGTTTGGTTGGAGGTAGGTAAAAGTTTTATTAGGTAGGTAATGGTAGGTAATTGGAGGTAGGTAATTGAAGGTAGGTAAAGTAAGGTAATGAGTTAAAAAATTGTGTTTGGATGTTTATTAGGTAACGTGAGGTAGGAAAAGAATAAAATTACTAAAATATCCTTGTGGTTGTTTTTCTTTATTTGTTTAGGATGTATTTATATGAAATTATCTTTCAAGTCAAAAGATTTATTTAAATTAAAGAAAAAATTAGTATGGACTAAATGCATAAGGTGAATCTGAAATAGAAAAAAATATAGAAAAATGCAAAATTTTAGTCCTTACTAAAATTAGTCCTTACTAAAAAATGCAAAATTATAGAAAAAAACAGGGAAGAAAACCCAGAAAAAAGCACAAAAAAAGAACAGAAAAAAACAAAAAAAAACAGAAAAAAAGATGAGAAATGAAAACTGAAAAAAAGGGAAACAAAAAAACGAAAACTGAAAAAAAAAAGGTGAAAGAAAGCTGGAAACTGAAAAAAAAGTGCAAATTGAAGTATGCAGAGGAAATTAAAATCTGGAAATTGAAATTTGAAAAAAGTAAATTGAGAGCAGAACGAAAAAAGTGAAAAAAACAATCTGGAAATTGAAAAAAAAGTGAAAATTGAAGTGCAAAAAAAAGTGAGGAGATGGCTATAGAAATTGAAGAGCATAGCAGAACAAAAAAAGTACGGAGTATGTAAAGCTTATCTGTTTTGAGCAGCGAAGGAGCAGATGGCGATTGAAATTGAAACAAAAAAAATAACTACGCAGCGGAATTGAAGATTATGGCGGAGCAGAGCAGATAAAAAAAAGTGAACATTGAACCAGAAGAAAATGATTATCAGAATACCTTTGGCGATCGGAACCGGAAGAAGATGGCGATGGCGATGGGAAGATGCCGATTGATTTTCGTGCGATTGGGTGAAGGGTAGCGGATAGTTTATTACCTTGATATTTCGCCAAATTGGCGGCCATCTAAAATGTACTGTTGAGAGGTAACCTTACCTCCCTCTACCTCCCCCTACCTCACTTGACATATCTCAATTTTTGTTACCAAACAAGGTAGAATATTAAATCTACCTCCCTCTACCTCCTCCTACCTCCAAACAAACACAGTGTAAGTGGAAACTTGCTCTAGGTATCTTTTGTGACAAGAGGATTAAACCTGAAAGGGAAGTTTTATTGGGCAGTGGTCAGACAGGCTATGTTGTATGAGGCAATGGGGCAAAAAGTTGGGCGGTGAAGGGCGTTCACGTTCAGAAGCTACGAGGAGCAGAGGTGGATGTGTACAAATGAGATCCAGAATGAGGATATTTGGGGGAGGCTGAGACTGGCCCCTTTGGGGATAAATTAAATGAAGCTAGACTGAAATGGTTTGGCCATGTACTTGTGAATTGTGAGAACTTGTGGCAGGGGCATTAGAAAGGGTAGAGGTAGACCTAAGAAGAGTTGGAAGGAGTGATTAGATAGGACTTTCAACTTCATGATTCACCAAAGATATGGTCTTAGAGAGGGTGTCTCGAGGTCTAGGAATAGGGTGGTAGGATAGACCTTTGTACCTTTGTTTGCGGACAAAATGGAGACCAGAATGGGATAGGGATAACAGTTGAAGCACAAAACACAAATCTACAAATGGACAAAGTATAATTCTACCCTCTTGAAAAACACATAAAAGAAAAAGCAAAAGGAAGTGATCATGCAACTATGCAACTGAAGCAATGTGAAAATAAAAAAAAATCACTTTGAAAGGCAATCAACCAACCTTAACATTATAATTTACATAAGCATGGAAGGTTGAGAGATTCCAGACAGTTCTATCCAGTTTCATTCCTTCCACGTGACGAGGTAAAATGACTGATGACAAAATAAACATGAAAATTTGTCACTGCAATAAAGGGGTATGTAAGAAAAGAAGAAAACTCAAAAGCCTGGCATTACCGAAACTGAAATATCCAGCATTAGCTGGCAAATCCGTGTTAACCACACCCTGCAGCTCTTGAGGAAGAGATGGAGACCAAAAACAGGGAGGGGCATTGTTTAGTCCAGCAGTTCGTCTTGCCTCCACAAATTCCTAATGATATGTTGTTAACCAGGTAGTGATTTGCCAAAATGTGCTGTTCGGTTACATACACATGTGTGTATGCACACAATGAAAACTTTATTCTACAGATTACGTGTTGAGTAAGTACATGACACTAAATTGAAGGTGAAACGGAGCATGACTTGGTCAAATTGACCAACCCTCCATTGGAAT